ACTAGCTGCCCTTTGCAAAGATGGTGGCTGCAGCTTCATTTAGGGTAGGGAAGCTGCAGCCACCATGTTTGCAAAGAGCAGCCAGTCTCCCTTTTTACACACCGTGGCTGTAAAGGCCTAATGGAGACCTCAGCAGCAGCTATCAAGGTAAGGGGGTCTTGGTGGGAGTGGAGTGGGGGCTAAAGTAGGGAAAGGAAGGGGGTGTGGGGGTAGGCTGTTGGAGTGGCTGGCTGTGTGTGGGGATGGCTGCCTATCAACTTCTGATCAGTTGATCTGCAGTCGGTAGGCAGAATGCGCTTCTGTGCAGTGTGGTATACTCTCCTGGGGGGACCTAATTTATAGGTGAATAACTTGGATGTCCGATATCAAATCTTCACCAAAATTGGCAGGCGTGTTGGGGAAGGACATAGGAAGCTCCGTTGTGATTCTGGAGTCACTTAAGTACCTGGGGGGAGCTTTCCTGGGGCGTCCTCTTTGTCACTATATAACTCGAGGGTCCGTGATGTTCACCAAACTTTCAGGAGTTGTAGAAAGGCGTCTGAGGACGCTTCCCTGCAAATTTGGTGTCTCTAAGTGGTTGGGAGCCAGTGTTATAGCTGTTTAAAGTGCAGACAAATCAACGGATCGATTCATAGATTCACTGAAGAATATTTGTATATTCGTATTTGTTGATCCGTTAACCTTGACGAATAACGGATCAAAACAAATCACCATTTTTTATTTGTCCCCATCTCTAGTCTAAACACATACTTTTAAATATTGTCTTTAGAATTATCTTCTGATTATATTTTTAAATTTTAAATATTAGCAGAATTGCATCTAAATGCTACAATAGTTTTTTTAAATCAACTCAGTTTTTCTAGCCATAACCAACTTATCAAAATGTATCCAATCTACATTTCCATTCCAAACCAAACCTGAAATCTTTGTTTTTCAGCATTTCATGGACAATATTAGGGAACTCCTGGAATGCATGTACTTTAATTAATGTCTTTTGTTAAATAATAACTTGTGTACATAGAAAGCCTTCAAGTACTTTACATGAGCATGTCAGAAATAATAGTGGAAATTAATTCACACCGATTTGTAATGCTGAATTCTGTTCCTTTTACACTCTGCCGCACGTACTGTGGGTGGGTGGATATAACGCCCTGCAGTTTAGTCCAGAAGGCTCTCATGGCATCTCGGAAATGCCAGCAGTGAGACTGCCCCTGTCCTCAGGTTACCATCTGAAACACATGACCCAGAAGGGAAAATAAGACAGGAAGGGAAGAGTGAAAAGGCAAGCACAGGTACCAGCAGCCGTCCATGCTTCCGAGGTAGATAAACGAAGTCCCCAGCCTGCTAGTGGGGTGGAGGGGATGTGTAGCTTGCATAATTAAATCGTAAACAGCCCTGCTTCTCATTTCTGCCTCCACTCTGCAACCTGCTGGAACCGTTGACTGCTAGATGACAGTTGACTCTCCTGAAGTCTTCTATGCAGAAGACAAAGCAGACATAAATGTGAAATTAGAGAAGGCAATATTCAATAATTGATAAGAACATATTTCCACCTCCTCTACTCCTCTTTCCTTCCTGTTCTATTTTCCCTTCTGTAATAAATCTGTCCTTGAAAAAATAGAATTTCAAAGGGAGAATCCAGTCTTAAACTGTTGAATTAACACTTATTTAAAAAAATCAGTCCTATGATGTACAATATGGTTTGAGTCAACAATGCCAGGAAGTTTTTTAGTGTTACTATATGAATAGTAAATTGTAAGCACATTGCATACATCTAGGTTTTAAATAACTATCACTGTCCTTATTTCTTGCATTATTATTATTATTATTGCTCCCTTTTCTTTTTCCTATACCTGTGTGGCTGTAACAGAGCTTTGGAAAAGTGAATTTGTTTTGGACAACAACTCACAGAATCCAGAATCACCATAACTACTTATGGTTCAAAAATGGACTTTGCTGTGCCTAGTTATAGTCCCCCCCCCCCAAAAAAAGTGCTTCTCCAGGCTTTGTTTTCCAGGCATCTGGTGAAGTGGGCTCTGGTCCACAAAACCTTATGATGTAATGCATTTGTTAGTCATTTGCAGCCCCTTAAAATTTTTTGTTGAATTGGATATAGTGAGAAGTCAGAAACATTGCCAGGTAGGTGGCAGATGCTACTGAATTCACAGATGCCCTAAATCCCTGACATGTTTGTTGGGTCAAGATGTTACTCTTCTGGACCTACTGAATCAGCTCCTAATCTCAATTTCCTTTGGGTCGCTTTGGACAGGTGTCATATCAAGGTACATGCACCAGGGGGCTCTCGTTGACTTTCAGTATTTCGGATTTTTCCAGCAATAACAATAGTACAAAAGGGGAAGTGATGGGGAATTACCTTTAAAGGGGGGGGGGAATTTGGAGGTACTTAATTAAACCATTTTTAAATCTGGTGTCCCCCCACAATCCAGTTCTAGTTTCATTCACTGAAATTAAATACACCCATCACGTTTTGCTAATTGATAGGCGAAGAGCAGCCATGAACTGCAGCCTGCTGAAGCCTACAGAAACATTCACTTTTATGGGGTCCTTGGAACAGCCACAAAAGGGTGGTGGATGAACATGTGGACCTGATGCAGCATGGCTTGGCAGAACACCAGTTGTGCAGATGTCTGCTCTAAATAATATAAAGTGGAAGCGAGGAGGCTAAATTCACCAGATGGAAACATCATGAGAGAACTTGTGTCATTTTCCACAAAAGCTATCAAAGACAAGCAGCAGGAAAATGCTAATGAAACTTGCATGAAATTACAGCCCGTACAGCTCTCTAAAAATACAGAATCTCACGAAGAGGCAATCACGTTCTCTTAGACATGTGAAAAATTCCCAGTCTCCCTGTTGTTGCATTTCTCCATCTCCCATCTTTTGTTCATAGGAGTTTGTCAAATATTTATTTCTGCATTAAAAATTGTACATATTTTCCATACTATACACACATACTTACGCACACTTTTCCTAATGTACCTATTTTGCATGTATTTCCCTATTGACTTGTTTCTGTGGATGTTTCAGTTGCACACATTTAAAGTTGTTTACATTTATGTATGTGTGATTTCTTCCTTACGACATGTGCCATAAGCCTTGAAAATGTATGTGTTTCTGAGGAAAAGAGCACTTTGTTTTAAAATAGGTAATAATGCTAAGTGTGTGCTGTTAATTCAATTCTGTCTTAACGGTGATCCTTTTCAGGGTTTTCGAGGTAGAGGGTACTCAGAAGTAGTTTGCCCGTGCCTTCTTCTGAGGCATCCCGGGACTACACAGTTAGTGCCAGGCCACACAGGCTAGCTCTAGGTCTTCTGGGATGTCCAGTGGGGACTTCAACTCCAACTTCTGGCTCCACAGCCAGAGACTTGAGTCACCGGGCTAGTAGAGAAGTGCAAAATAGGCAATTTCAGCAGGTATCACAAAATGAGTAAAACTCTTTCCCGTCTCCTTTTGCGAAGATCAAAATGTTGCATCTGATACTCAGAAAATGTGCCGAGACTGCAAGAAAAGACAACCCTTTTGTGAGAAACACAGACTGATCTCTAAGAATAGCGTCCCATCCACAAGGACCTCAACACTTGTCCATGTTGAATGCGCAATGAATATGCTGTATTTTAAACATAAATATTAATTCAGAGCATGTTTTAAAGGCAAGAACCTGGAGATCTTTTCTTTGAAGTCGTTTCGAAGACTGTATCAGGATGGGCTGAGGCAAGCAGCAAATGCTGCATTGTAATATAGCAGGAATGGGAAATATTTTTCTACAGGTTTCTGGACTTCAAGTCCCAGAATCCCTCACCACTAGTTTTGGTGATTACTGCTGATGGGAGTTGTAGGCTAAAAGCAAGTGGAGAGCGGCATGTTATGCACCTTAGTGCTTAGAGTTCAGATTGACGGAGGTCAGATTCTAGCTGGATCTCTGCAAACTCAATTCATGGTGCAGTAGCCAGGAATCTCACAGTCTCAATCTTTTGTTTTCCAGGATGAGGTGAAACTACCATCCAAGCTGAGCATTAGTAAGTCCTTGAAAGAGACAGAGAAAGAAGGGGAAGGGGAAGAAGTCCCAGCAGGCGAGGAACATCCTGATGAGGAACACCATATTGAGCTCTCCTCGGATGAAGAAGTAGAGGTAGAGGAAATTATTGAGGAGTCACGAGCAGAACGTATCAAGAGGAGTGGCATGAGGAAGGTGGATGACTTCAAGAAGGCCTTCTCTAAAGAGAAGATGGAGAAGACCAGGCTGAAGACTAGAGAGAACTTGGAGAAGACGAAGATAAAAACCAGAGAAAACCTGGAGAAGACAAAGCAGAACCTGGAGAAGACCCGCCACAACCTGGAGAAGAGGATGAACAAGCTGGGCACCAAGATTGTCACTACCGAACGCAGGGAGAAGATGAAATCCTCCCGGGATAAGCTGAAGAAATCCTTCACCCCTGACCATGTGGTCTATGCACGCTCGAAGACAGCCGTCTACAAAGTGCCACCTTTCACTTTCCATGTGAAGAAGATTCGGGAAGGAGAGGTGGAAGTGAAGGCCACCGAGATGGTGGAGGTTGGTGGGGATGAGACAGAAAATGCAGATCTGCTGAGGAGTGAAAGCCCTGAGATGAGCACGCTCCTGCAAATCACAGAAGAATCAGACACAGTGTTGGCAGAAAAGAGTGATAGTGAGTGAGGCAGGCAGGCAGCAGCAGAAGAAGAACATCAAGAGCCAAACATATAACCTTTTCACATTTCCTCTTCTTGGCCTCACATAGGTGCTTACATGCACTCTCTCTCTTTCTCACTCTTACTCTCACTCTCACACACATACATACACACACTTACACACAAACATAGATCATATAAATTTTACAGCCCTGATCCTCTCAAAAATGTAATGCCAAGGTGCATTTTTGTATATCTCTGTGTTAGCATATAGAACATGGGACTTCATAGCAACTTCTCAGACACCATTCCTGCTACTGAAGGCTTGCTTTGTCAGCCTGTTATGGTAACATCCTCCATTCACCACCCAAAGGTGCTGCTAACAAAGTAATCCACTTGTATTCTCAAGGAGCATGCTGCCTCTTAGCTGTTTGCCTAGGTGTCAAGAATGCTTCGTGGGGACCAGAAAGCAGATTGGACAGAAAGAAGGAAAGCAAAGTTGTGGAACCAAAGAAAGAAGGAATTGGCTGAATTACATCACTGAACCGAGGGAGGTTGGGACAGAAGCAGAGTTGGGAGAAAGTCAGGTGGGAAGAGGACTTCATGTCATGTGATGATGCAAGAGCAACGGGGTCTGTACATTTCCCAGGAGATCATTTGTGTACAGTCACATACAATCAGCTTTGTATTTTGGCATGTGAATCACCAGCACTCTGCACATACAGGGAAGGGTAGGGAGACCTCTCAGCAGAGTGCCATCAGAGCCACGTATGTTGTTAGCCATGCCTCTGTCAGCTGCCTTGCAACAGGGCAGCAAGTCGAGCTGAGAGAGAGAGAGAGAGATGAGACAAAGCAGGGGAGAGGAGTCATACATTACAGCCTGTGGTAGTAAGCAGTAATGTTTTAACAAGGAGAATACAGGAGGGAATTCTTATCTAATCTATCAGCAGTCTCCCCAGCATCTCTGAACAAGATCTTCTGCACCACAACATTGTTTTGTGCAGTGCCTAGGCTCCAGATACTGTGTTCCTGTTTTCCTGCTGTGTTGGCTTACAGTAGACCAATTATTTCATGCTTCCTGGATGTGTGCTCTGAATGTGATGCTTGGGGACAGAAGGAGGAGCTAGGAATTCTCTGACACGAAACAGCTTTGCTGCAGGTGAAAGGAAGAAGCTTTCAACCATCTCACAAACATAAACAGCTACCTCTGGCTTTTTGTCAGAGTGTGAAAAAAATTCTTTTTCAGGTTACAGCTCACATACTCTCCCAGCCAATATGGTTCTTAACCTTACTTTATTTTGCAATAAATGAGGGTGAGTCTGAAGTGTGACATTTTCCCCAAAGACACCTCCTTCTCCAATGTTTGATGCATGCTGCTGTCTCCCCCTACATGATAAGACAGACCATTCGCCTCTTCCCATCATTGGATAGGATTTTCCGAGATTCCCCAAACACTCAATTCTGCTGCGCTGTCTTGGCCCATTCCATGACCAGAAACTCCTTTACCACAGCCAGAGCTGCCCGCTCTACCAAGATGACTTGGCAGAGCTACCTGCAATCCAGCAGGGAGATACGTGTATATGTGTGTGTGTGTGTGTGTCTAGGGATGTTCTTACTTGACCAAGGAGTGTACAAGTAATTTGGAAGCAAGGGGATGTCCCCACCACCATACTTTCCTTTGAATTTTTCTATTCTTGCTATGAATCTCATGTCAAGGAAAAGCCCACAGTATGAAATAGATGAGGCTTCTAGGGCTATCCTACATGGGGCAGAGAACATGCTCTGTGTCCTACTCTGGGGCAAATAGAGCAGGCTGGGGAATGTGCCAGGCAGATGCATTGCTCCTTTTCTAAGACTGCATCCTGGTGAGCAGCGTGACTAATAAACTTTCTTTTCTAAAAGAACAGGCGTCAAGTGTTTGGGGGTAGATACACTACCAAGGTCACTGCTAGAGGCAATTGGGGACACTTTTCTAGCCAAACTTCATGTAAATATGTGCTTAACACTCTTGCTTTTTATTCTAAAGGAAAAGCAGTTATTGCTAGTGATGAGAATCATTTTCACAAGGAAGTTCCTGAGATAAACACACACCTCAATATCCAGGGCCAATTCAAGGCCTCTCTCCACCTGAGACAAAGAAAGCTCCCACTATCCTCCACAAATTAATGCAGAAAGGCCAGCAAAGACCAGCACTTTGTCTGGCTTCCTAACTGGTAGCATGATACCTTTCTACTTCAGAAGGTAGCAGAGTAGCTTAGCAGGTGCAAGGCAGAACTACATAGCAGCCATAGATTTACTCTTCCTACGCTTGGTGTATGCCATCTGAAGCCGTTGCCAACCTCTGCCTTCTGGCAGGGCCATCCTCTGCCAGCCTCTCTTCCTCTTTAGAACTCTACTATTTGGGCAGAGGACAGATTGGGTGTGTAAATAAAAAAAAAGGAGGGGAAGGAAACTCTGTTCTTTGTTCAGTGTCCGGATCTCAAATGCAGCACAAGGATTGGACTTGGGTGTCTGTCCTAGAGAGAAGCTGCTTGCAGTTGCCTTGACTGTTCACATACACACTTTTCTCTGATCAGTGCTTTACGGATCATAGGTTCTTGAGCTGCAAACTCATTCTATCACTTGCTTATCTGTGTTCTTTTGGGCAAGATCACAGCGCTGCAAGCCTATTCTTCCCTGGAAGTAGGGTTGAAGGAAATACAAGATGCAGCCGCATCCACATGATGGCAGCAAACACTTGGAAAACAAGTGCTCAACTCTACTCACTCTATTTACTTGTGAACTTTCTCTGCCCAAAGACTAAACCACGTAGAGAAACAAGGGGAAAGAACTCTGCTGTCCAAAGAGAGGATGAATGGTTAGTCAGAGAAGCTTACTTGTGTCCAGGGAGAGTTAGAAAATAAGAGGTGGGACCTTGGAAAGAGGGCTTCGTATGGGCTTCCTGGATGGCGCCTTATGGAAGGCTCCTATTCCATTTGCAGTCACTGCTCCAGGGCACAGGAAGTGCAGAGAGGGTGCTATTTATTTTCTCATCTGACCAGCAGACAGCTGCTGATCAGCAGCTTCTTGAAAACAAAGCGGCACTCATGCATGCTTCTAAAAAAAACATGTCATTCGGTCTTCAGCAAGGCCAGGAGACAATGTGCACCCAATTGCCAGCTAGCCAAAACCAAAAAATTGGTTCTTATTTCACTCTCCAGGTAGTGTTAGCTCCCTTCCCTTCAGGTATGAACATGAAACGAAGGAGGGTGCTGTTGCATTTGGATCACTAATAGGGTTCACTCAGCCTGTGGTGATTTTTTCTTTCTTTATTATAACAGTGAGAAATGGGGACTAGTGTGCCATTCATTACCTCCAAAGCAATCTAACTACAAGTTGCTGCTTTTCCACATTTCTTTTGACATATAAATTGGGAATGGGGTGAAGGTATCACGCCTCCTGTAGGAGGATCTTCTGTGGATCAAGAGTGATCAAGGTTACCACAAGGGGTATCCAGTGTAGTGGAGTGGATAGAGTGATGGACTAGGACTCTGAAGAGCAGGACATAAAGTTCCAAGTAGCCATGGAAACTCTCTGGGGGAACTTACATATCTCACTCACCTCAAAAGCCCTATTAGAGTAGCTGAAATTCAGTTTCCACTGGATGGCACATTACTACTAAAGCTGCCACATACATGTCACCAACGGAAAGGATGTACACTACTACCAAAAAGAGAAAGAAACATGCATGCATACATGTGTATACAGTATATACTGTATATACAGATATATAAGATAAAGGGTAAAGGTTCCCCTTGACAATTTTTGTCCAGTCGTGTTCGACTCTAGGGGGCGGTGCTCATCCCCATTTCCAAGCCATAGAGCCAGCATTTGTCCGAAGACAATCTTCCGTGGTCACATGGCCAGTGCGACTTAGACACAGAACGCTGTTACCTTCCCACCGAGGTGGTTCCTATTTATCTACTTGCATTTGCATGCTTTCGAACTGCTAGGTTGGCGGGAGCTGGGACAAGCGACGGGTGCTCACTCCGTCACGTGGATCCGATCTTACGACTGCTTGGTCTTCTGACCCTGCAGCACAGGCTTCTGCGGTTTAGCCCGCAGCGCCACCACGTCCCTTTTATACAGATATATACACATGCCTAAAATATACACATGCCTAAAAGTGCACATACACGTTCATATGTGCTTGGGCAAAATACGAAATGACATTTACAATTTAACTAGAACAGTAATACTTCTAGGAGAACTGGGAAAGTCTGTATGTGGGCTGAATCTGCTGCTCACATGGTAATGGAGGATGGGCCAGTTCAAGGTCTCTGCAATCCCATCAAAAACTGTTCCCTGTAAAAAGGGACACATGGTTACCCTATGAAAGAGGCATTGGCATGATATGGTAAATCCCAATGTATGAGACAAAGGAGGAAAAAAAATTAAAAACCCCATGAGGACATCAAATATTCACACTCCATTGAATAGTCAGTGTTAGTTGGAAGGAAAATGGATACATGATGAGGGAATAGAATGGGCACTTTCTATAATCTGATTTACAAGAACATTTTCCACAGCCTCCCAAGCATTCAACCACCTTCTGATAGAAAAAGTAGTTTTTAAGACCAAATACAGATGTTTGAAAAATCCTATTGGTTTTTTTCAATGAACAACGTACACCTATCTCCTTAAAAATAATGGCTGGTGCATTTGGTTGTTTTCCCACATGAGTAAATAAATGTTCAGCCTCACTTTCAGTGGCATCAGTTTCATGGGGCAAGTTCTTACCAACTTAAATGGGCAAGAACCAAGTATAGGAGAGCTGAAGGATGCAAACTCTAGAACTCAGAAACACAGAAGGCTGTCTTTTACTGGGTCAAATCATGGGACTTCTTAGAGCTTGGAAATGTTATTCTTTTGAAATACAAGTACTTTTTTCAAGCTCTGATCTGTCCAGTTCAGTATCAGTACTGTTCAGAGGGGGCAAATGGGGGAGGGCACTTTGCCCTGGGCCTCCACTAAGCAATGAGCTCCTTCCTCAGCTTTTGTGTGTACTGCTAGTTGTTCGCCATATTGCTTACCAGAGCACAGGTGGTGGGGCAGTGGCAATCCTCCACTAAGTGACCCTGTACAGTATTTTTTTTCAACCAAATGGTCCTCCAGTTTTTCAGAAAGGAAACTTGCTCATCCCATCTTGAAAATAACAGCAGATGAACCTGGGTCTTTTTGCAGACAAAGCATTCTTCAAGATGGCATACTTTTAGCAACCGAAGTGTAACTATGGGATTCTCAGCGCTGTATAGTGGATAGAGTGATGGACTAAGACTCTGGAGAACAGGGTTCAAGTCCCCACTTGGCCATGGAAACTCACTGGGGGAGTGGAACTGGTAAATATCCTTAAATATCTCACTTACCTTGGAAGACCCATTAGGGTTGCTATAAGCCAGTTCTGACTTGATTGCACAGAACACACACCCAAGTGTAACTATGGTATCTATATGCCTTGCCAGACAGAGAAAGCAAATGTTAATTGGACATGGGGAGGACATTCCATATGAGGAAACTGGCACAGGAAGAAGGAGGCCAGTCCTACGTAGAGAGAGACAGTCGAGTGTACTGGTTACTCTGTGGGACCAGGATGAAAGAGATCCCGTTTCAGGTATTTTACTGAGCTGTGAAATTTACTGGGTGACTTTAGGCTAGTTATTCTTTCTTGTCTGACCTACATTTAAGGACTGTTTTGAGGTTAAAGTGGGGAGAAGGGAGCAAGATACATTACTTTCAGCTCACTGGGAAAAAATTGGATACAGAAGGAAGGAAGCTGGCAGCAAGGTGATGGAATTAAAAAATGTGAGCCATGTGGTCTGACCTGCAAGCCTTAAGCTAGTTTTCGGCTTTCTGGTATGTTACTGGATGCTATTGCCAACCACCATCTAATGGTCTTTTATAGCATTTTGTTCTTTGATTCAGACATGAAAATCACTGGGATAGTGGGTACTGCTAAACTCCTCCCCCCTCAACATTGTGCCTCTAATTCAAAGTCCATTTTGCTCATTAAAAATTGAATGATCACAAATATCTTGTCCGCTTTGTCTGGTGCCTTAAACTGTGTCCCACCTCAGGTGCCTGAGCTACAGCCTCACACTCTCCTCCCATCCCACCCCCTGAAGTACATACCAATGGCTCTTGGCTGAGAAACACAAGAAATAACCAGTATAAAACTTTTCCAGCTGCATCCAATGATCAACACATTATTGGGAAAAATGACAATTTGTTATTTGGCTCTGGCTGCACCCTGCAAAATTTCCTTGGAAAGAGTGAGACAATTATGTTTCAGAAATCATCCTTCCTTATTGTTTCAGCAGGCGTCATGAACTGGAGCATGGGCTAAGAATGATAGTATGGGGTGACATGTTGCTTTACCTCCTCCAAAAGGGACAGATTCCTAAGCTTTGTGACAGTAAAAGAGCACGCACACACACATCCACACACACACAGAGCTCATCGCTATAAAAGTCACTGTTTTGGATTACAACTCCCAGAATCCTTCAGTCAGCATGGATATGCCGTCCCCTCCCCCCAAAAAAATTCCCAAAGTTTCGTCATGGCTACTCATTTTCATCACTAAAAATAAACAACGCTTTATCTTTAGTGATGCTTTGCTTTGTCTTTGTCACAAATTTCCCAGTTCCCTTCCTCCAAAAAGCTAGGAGGCAAGGGAAACAGCCTTCTTATCTTGGTGGGGTTTCCTGTGAGCTTCCCAGCTAATAGCTAAGCTGCTGGGAAGTGCAAATGGGCAGGAGTCATCTGCAGACTAGGATAGTCCCCCACCCACACACCAAGACCAGCCAAGCCAGAAGCAGCACAAGGGGGCTCTACTGACATTTGGTGGTTATAAGGGACAGTCACT